AGAGAGAGAGAGAGAGAGAGAGAGATAGGGGGGGGCATATAAGCAAAGGAGAAGCGGGAACGCTGACCAAAGGCAATAGACTTGGACAGACTTTGTAAAGTTGTGTAACATTTTTTTTTGCGAAAGAAAAGAGAACAATCATGTCAAAAAAAAAAACATCCGTACTACATGGACAGTAGAAGCCAACCGGCCTGGTTGTCGTTGCGTCTGGAGACGTGGTCGACTTTGCAACAGAGTGAACCCAAAAGTCATATTTACAGCATACGTTTCATCATGTCAAATTCTAAACAACTAGAAGAAGAAAACACCAGCTTATAACACCGTCCCAATGCCACCATGCCCCTCTCTCCATTCTGTCTGTCTGTTCCAAGGGCCATGTCAATCATTGTTCATTTGGTCTCGTCGACTCGGATTCTCAATCACCTGTTGCAGCCCCCCCAACACCACGCCTCAAATGTACAACCTCACAACATCTCTTTTTCTTCTTCTTCTTCTTCTTCTCCTCCTCTTCTTGTTTATTTACGAAATCAGTGCTGTAACCTCATCAGCAGTAAAGCCAAAGAGGTAAAGCAGGTCCAGCAAGCTCTCGCCATTGAGACGCGCCGCGGCCTCCATCTGCACGCGGGGCTTTGCATTCCACGCCACGCCCAGGCCGGCCTTGTCCAGCATGAGAAGATCGTTGGCGCCGTCGCCGACGGCAACCGTCTGAGACAGGTCAATGTGTTCCTTGGCGGCAATGTCGACGAGCAGGTCGCGCTTGCGCTCCTTGCCGACAATAAGGCCGTCGGCCTCGCCAGTGAGCTTGCCGTCGGCGCCCACAACGACATTGTTGGCATAGGCGTAGTCGAGGCCCAGCTCGGCGGCGAGCCAAGCCGTCAGTGGTTGAAATCCGCCAGACAGGACCGCCGTCTTGACGCCGAGGCGCTTCAGGGCCTTGATGAGGTGACGCACGCCGGGCGTGACGCGTAGCACGGGGCGGAGCTGCTCAAAGATGGTGGCGGGCAGGCCCTTGAGCAGGGCGAGGCGCTCGCGGAAAGACGCCTCAAATTCGAGCTCGCCAATCATGGCGCGGTGGGTGATGCGGGCGACGCGGGCGCCGAGGTCCGCGGGCTCGGCGAGCTCCTCGGCGAGCAGGTCAATGACCTCTTGCGTGATGAGGGTGCTGTCCATGTCAAAGACGACCAGGCGCGGGTGGCGGCGCCAGACGGTGTCCCGCTGCAGCACGACGTCGACGTTCCACTCCTGCTCGAAGCGGTAGATCATCTCATGCTTGCGCAGCTCGGCAAGGGAAAGAAAAGCAGGCGACGGTGCGGGGGTCAGCGTCAGCTCAACGACGCGCGGGGCGTCCGGGTCGTCGAGGCAGCGGTGCGACGAGTGTGGCTCGTCAGCGCCGTCGGGCAGCGGGAAGCTCGACATGAGATGCAGGAACGACGTGATGCACAGCGGTGACACGTAGGACCCGTACAGGTGGTCCAGGTGCTCAGGCTCCCCCGTCGGCGGCTCAAGCGGAAAGTCGTCGAGGCTGGTCGTCGGCGCCATGTTGGCCGGTAGCGAGTCGGTGCTGCCGTCGAGCGACCTGGAGGCCGTGCTGGACGCGACCGTTGCGGCAGCGGTGCTGGTGGCCCACGCATCAGTAGCAGCCGCCGCCGTCGCCACGTCGGCAGACGTTGGACCATTGCTGCTGCTGTTGCTGCTGCCCTTGTAAAAGAGCGTCACGACGAGGCGGTCTGTGTGCTGGCCGGCGGCGGGCGCGCAGTTGTGGTGCGCGTAGCTGTGGTCGATGCCGCTCTCGACAATGGTGGGCGGCGCATCCTCGGAGGGGATGCCGCGAAAGGGCAGCGCCGTCTTTGTCGGGCTGCCGGGGTTCCTGGACTCGAGGACCGTGTCGATGCCGTGGTGGTGAGCGTCGGGCTGGCGCGGGCTGGCACGGCGGTACTGCTGGTGGTCGCTCAGATATGAGCTGCTGCGCATGGCGCTGGTGAGCTGGGGCCTGGTAGTGGCTGTTCTAGGCGAGCTCGTTGGCTCCGCCATTTTTTGCATCCTTGGGGGTTTTTTCTCGTCTTCTTTTCTTCTCTTTTCTTCTCTTGTTTTTTTAATGCACTCGTTCAGAGTTGCTTTATTGAGCTCACTACTTCTCTTCGAAAACCAAGATTAGAGAAACAAGCTCTCAAGAGACAAAACGGGCGACGCAAAATTAGAGAAAGGGGGCACAGAGAAGAGGGGAAGACGAGGGTATTCAGAAACTTGGGCCGTTGGGACGAGGCGCAAGGTCAGATACAGCCGCCCCACTGTGCGTAAAGAAAGAGCAAATGGCTGTGGTCTGATAACCCGGCGATGCAGCTGCCAATTTGCAGAGACTTGATTGAGGTCGAATAGAAATATCCGTATCTGAGAAAGGAGATCTTTTTTTTTTTCTTTTTTGCTTTTTACAAAGAAGGCACGTCACACAGGGCGGGAGATGAAGTGTGCAAAGTTCGTTTGGAGGACTAACAAGATATGACGCAGATTTTCCCCTTGATCCGAGCTAGGCCCGTCATAGCCCCGAATCCGGAGCAATTTGACCGTTGACAACTTTTTATTCCTTTGTTTTATCCGTAATTTGTGCTTATATAATTCAGTCAGGAAAAGCAGAGGCAGATCCGGGCTCCATTTCTTGTCCCACTTTGTCGATGCAATGCAACAAAGATCAAGTGGCAATCAAGATGAGATGAACTCAAAAGGCGCAGATCCATACTCGCTGCTCCCTACATCTTTGCTCTCCATACCCATCTCCAGACTCGGCTCGCCTCATCAATTGCCTCTCTCTCTCGTTCTGGCCTTTTCCCACACGCGCGGAAATCGTCCCCCCCCCCCCCCGCCCACTCTGTTACAAACGCCTGATGCAGTCCGCGGTTAAATGGTGTTACCAGAAGATGAATTTGCTGCCCAGCTTCAGCACGCGGTTAATCTCCCTCAGCGTGGTCTTTTCGTCCGGCACCGAGCACAGCACCGTGTCCACGCTGCCGCCTCGACGCCGTGGCGCTTCAGCACGTTGGCTCTCCTGCGCTTCGATCTCGGGCCCAAAAGGCGGGTTGCTCTCGATGCCAGTGACACGCGTGGAACCTTTACTTGTCGTAGCACACGATGTCGTTGCCCATGCTAGGGCCAAACTTCCAGAACCACTCCCCCGCACTGGGGAACGAGCGTGGCAATTACCGTCGTGGCCTCGAATCGCTGAAAGAAATGGTCTAGGCTCAGTGTCCAGCAGCTTTCGATACAATGCTCTTTGCCGCAAGTTGTCCAGTGTGGAGGGATCGTGTTTGGCTGACTGTACTGATTTCACTGACATACAGGTTAGAAGCCAGCGTCCTGGAGCTTCCGAAACCTCAAGACATCGTCATGTCCCCCATCGCGATACAACTGCTTGACATTCTCATAGATTGCTAATCGTTGCTCAAAGGGGCAGGAGCTTCAAAATTGACGGGTGCAAAAAAGAACTCGAGTCCCGCATCGCATACCCCAAACCGCATCTGTCAAAGGGTCATAGTCGGTGTAGGCATTCCAGCGCTGCTCAACATGGAGGGGCATGACGAGGTTCAGATTAAAAACTCTCAATGTAAAGCTATGTCGAATAAGAGTGTAAACCGGGAGACGGAAAGTTGGCAGCCCACAATATAGATATGTGTGTGTGTGTGTGCCAACAGCCCCCCCATCCGGGCCCAGCGACCAGCAACCACGTCGGCCTTCCGACTCTGGAGACGAGACCAAGCTTTTCTCGCAGACGTCGCCCATCCCGGCGGTAGGCACGCAGTATCTGCTGTCAACCCTGCGTCTACAAAGTACGTGGGAGAGCTGCAGCTTTGCTTAGCCGGGGCGGGCTGCCGATTGGGGCAATGTCCACCTTGACCAAATGTTTGGTACGCACAGCCTGGTATGACGACACAGAGTCATTAACTGAATGATTCTATTAAACATATTTTCGACTTCAACATGAGTCAGTCTTTCTTATGTATAGTATTCTAGAACATTTTGTTGGCTGTCCGAGTATCATCAGCCAATCACACCGATTAGTTGGAATACTGCAAAATGGTAGAGGTACAAATGCCCTGTTTTCCTTTGCATTTCAACCAAGTTTTCTCGTTTCCCTTATTGAAATGATCAAAAATGCCGGTCATCATACGTTTCTTCAATACTATTCAAGCTGTGGCTTTTTTAAAGTAAAGTGGCGTTTTGCCATATAAGTTACTATTACAACGCCCACTGCGTAAAGTTGCAGCAAGATCGTCCTCGGGAGATTTATTACTCTTTTATTCGTACACTACGCTTCCCAATAACTCAAATTCTGTCTCGACTTTGGGCTTATACAGACATTAAAGAGCAGGTAGGCGCTCTGCACTCCGCTGTGACTCCTTCCCCGAAATCTTGCAGCCATCATTACGCCGTCGCCGCCAAATAACTCTATCTTTAAGTTTGGTCACAGTACATGAATGCCACCAAATCTTCTCAAAAAGAATGTCTAGATTCGTGGGGTATATAAATTGTTCCCGCCGGACAACATACAAGCATCTGATGTCCCGACAGAACATAATCAATTACTTCACTTACCACTGATCAACTCTTTCATCTTGATCAAACATTCTCAAGATTAGCTTGCTACTCTGCGCTCCTTCCTGACAAACACGTGTGCACTGTGCCTGGCCATGGCGTCCACAAGTTCGCTTCCCATGCGTCGACGCCGGCAGGAGCCGATCAACCTCCTCAACATGCCGCTCGAAGTACAACTTCAGATCTACGACTACGCTCTCAGTGATCCCGACCTCTGGGATCGTCGTCACCGTCCCGGATGCGACCTCTGCCCCCTCACACAACAAGAGATGAATCAGCCGCCCTTCATGTGGCACCGCGTCGTCGTCGACGCCGTCCCCAAGCCCGGAAAGGGGGAACAGGTCGCCCTGAGCAGCATTCACGGGCTTCCAAAAGCCTTCTCCCTGGCCAAAACATGGACGGCGTGCGACTGCGGCAAGCGCCGCGGTATCCACCTCTTGCGCACCAACCGCCACATCTTCAGCGTCGCGGCGCATATGCTCTGGTCGCGCGGGAACTTCTGCTTTTTTGACGCGACCGAGTTCGCCGCGTGCGTGGAAGCCACCTCGCCGGGTACGCGAGCCCTCATCCGCGGCGTCAGCATAATGTCGTTGTCAAACGGGAGCGCCCTTGATTCGCGCGTGTGCCTTCGAAGCCAAGGTGACAACGGGCTAGACCGTCCGAGTGCCGTGTACCCGTGGGAGGACCGGTGCTTGCCCGAATTCTGGCTAGCACTGCAGCTCCTGCCGATGCTGAAATACCTGAGCATCCCGCACCTATATCTCAGTGTCTTTCATACCATTACTGACGATCTATTCTTCAAGACAAAGGCGTACTTGGCGCGACTGGGCTACATGTACTTTACATGTTTAGCCCTGACTCCTAGAGATTGGGGCTTATACCCAGGCTACATTCACGGTTACGATAACTTCTGGGCCGCCTTCTTCAGCGGCAGGACCTTGGCATCGCTATATGGCTTTTCCGAACGTGTTGATACGACCACATGGCTCGACGGTATTACGAACCTTGACCCTCGTGATGCTCTCGACCATAGAGTAGCTCTGATCCTGTCACAATACCTCGTGGGTCGAACAACTCAGGCTACGCGAATGCAGGCGATGGAGTGGGACAGTACAACGATCGCGGGAAAACACTGGTTGCGCCCGCAAACTCGCGTCATTGCCGGCGGCGGAACCACCACCGTGTCGCTTGATGACACGGGTACATTGAAAGTGGCAGTCAAATTTTATAACGCGCCTCTATCAAGAGACGCCTGTGTGAATAGCAATCTAGCATTGGCGAGTCAACGTGCCGAGCTTGAAAGGCTGGGTAGGAAGTTTGAGGCAGGCCAAAGGAAACGAAAACTAGCACGGGAGGAAATGATTTGCCGTTTCAAATCTTTGCCCTCGTACGATACATACACCTTGAGAAAGATGGTAGTTAAACTCAGGGTCCCTAAGCCCATCGTTGAGCCGCCGCCGACTAAGAGGGTGCGGACCAAGAAGAATCGACGTGGGTATCAGAAGAGGGGCAATCGGCAGGAATGAGGCGTACTCTTTAGTATACTCTGGTTAGATACAGGACGGATATGATTACAAGGTTCATTGTTCTAGGTTGTTCTGGATGGTTTGTATGGCTAGTCGTGAAGCACGGCTCGACATTGAGCGGTCGACTACTGCCTTTGGCACGATATTCCAGACGAGGTGCAGCGATATAAGCTTCTACTTTTTTTGTTTTCTGGACCATCGGTGCGATATAGAGTAGAATGATGATTGGATTTTGTAAGAATAGACTTTCGATGCCCTGTCCCGTTATTTGGCGAAGTGAAGTCTAGTGGTTTCGGGTCTGTTTAGCCAGCTACTCATTGGCACACTTACAGGACTGCTGTCAAGGCTTGTATGAGACTAAACGACAGCGCCACGAACGGTCTGTTTAGTTTTTACTCTTAAATATCGGCGTCGAATCATTCAAACTTGCAATGTACAATAAGCGACGACCCGAGACCAGCCCGATCATACCCGCCCTCTCTTGCCCCCAGAGGCATAAGCAGGAATGGCGCATTCGACCCCCGCCTCCACTTCCAGCACTTGTTGAAGGAACAAAGCTAAGGTAGCTATTGCGTGCGAGTGAGCTAACTAGAGTGATAATTGTCCACGCGAATTGGTCTCCTCCTGGCCGCTGGTCGGGTCCGTTCTCTCAGAGGGCGCAAGGCCCTGCCCACCACCCACCAAAACTACCGCCACCACACCAGCGCACGCACGTGTATTAATAAGACTGATGAAAACCGGCATTATTAACGCAATGGTATGTCTGCCTTTTTGTCGAAATCCTGTGCATTGGCTGAGTTTAGGCGGCACCTGGCCGTCGCTGGGACGTCGCACGCGGAGCTGCGGCTCGTCGGACGGGCTGTCGGCTTCCCCGGTCATGGTCCGTTGCGGCTGCCGATGATGCGAGACACGAAGTTGTTGTGTTTGCGCGGTTGCATATGGCGCTGACAAGAGTGACAAGGCAATGAATGACCCTCTACGCGGGGGAGGGATGCCATCATGCCATCATCGCCCGGGGGCAAGGGGCAATGACGAGCTTGATTCCCAAGGAGCATTTCTAATCTTAAATGCGTTGGCTCATTCAGGCAACAACACAGCCCTTGCCCGCCATCGGCTCCAGCTAAAACTTGGAGCTAAAAGCCCCATCAAGTAGCCGAAACCTAGTCCTATTAGTGGTGTTGGTGAAGCATTAAAGTAGACGAGACTTGCCGACGGCCCTTGACCGGCTCCTCGCCGACCAATCACATTGCACCGCTCCGCATCGCGGAAGCAATGGCGTCGATGTCGTGATCAGTCTCCATCACCACGCAAAAAACTCAGACGGCGCTCCGGCACACAAACCGCCTGCCAACTTTTGGCGGTTTTCGGGGCAAATTCGTTGGATTTAATGAAACAGAAAAGACGCAAAGTGGTGGAAAGGGCAGCGTGACAAAACAAGCCCACCCCTTTCGCCCAATTAGTCAGGTTACGCTTCCCCCCCAAATCCCACGGCCTCTCGCCGCCGCTTCTTTCATACCTTTGATCCCGTAAACAACCTCTTCTTTTTTTCCTTCCCGTTCATACCTTGTGAAACAGCGTCGTAGCGCTTATAAACATTCCTCTTATAAATCTCTTCTTTGAAATAGCCTGCCGTCATCAAATTAACAATCAACACATCTCGCCTTAAAAGCCAACTCACCTCCGGCTCAGAATCCGCTTACACGCCCAGACCAAGCACAATAAAGACATCGTGGCTCGATACACTGAATCCTTCCTTTCCGTGGTCGTCGTCATACTCGCATCATTCATCATGACACAGAGCTCGCCCCAATCGTTCCGTGAGGACAAGATGGACAACCACGATATTGAATCCGGATACGTCTCAGGCCAGGATGGCGAGGTCCCTGTCAAGTCCGCCTCGTCTTCACCCCTCATCTGCCTCAGCAAGCCCCATATCGAGTACCTCAACAACCAGATGGAGTCGATGCACCCCATCGACATCCTCCGCTTCTGCAAGATCATGTTCCCCAACCTGTACCAGTCAACCGCCTTTGGCCTGACCGGCCTCGTCACCATGGACATGTTGTCCAAGATCCAAGCCGAGAGCCCGGGCTCCCGCACCGTCGACCTCATCTTCCTCGACACCCTGTACCACTTTGACGAGACGTACGACCTGGTCGAGCGCGTCAAGGCCCGCTACCCCAACGTACCCGTCCACGTCTTCAAGCCCGACGGCGCCGACACGCCTGCGGAGCTCGAGGCCACGTATGGCGAAAAGTTCTACCACACCGCCGGCGACATGTACGACTACATTGTCAAGGTCGAGCCCCTGCAGCGGGCGTACGACACCCTCAATGTCGCCGCCGTTCTCAACGGCCGCCGCCGCTCCCAGGGCGCCGCCCGCGGCTCCATCCCCATCATCGAGCTCGACGAGGAGCGCGGCATCATCAAGATCAGCCCGCTCGCCGCCTGGTCCTTTTCCCAAGTCAACGATTACATCAAGGCAAACAACGTCCCCTACAACGCCCTCCTCGACCAGGGCTACAAGTCCGTCGGCGACTGGCACTCGACCGTTCCCGTCAAGGACGGCGAGGACGAGCGCGCTGGCCGCTGGAAGGGCCAGTCCAAGACCGAGTGCGGCATTCACAACAAAAAGTCGCGCTACACCCAGTTCCTCAAGGACATGGAGAGTAGCCAGCAGATTTCCGTCTAAATGGCGCAGTGGCTGTTGAGATGGTTGATATCAAAAGCAAAAGCGGAAATATAATGAATTTGATGAAGGAGAGCGTTGGCATGTTGTTTCTGGCGATTTCTTCGAGATTCTTGGAGACTCGGTTCTTTTAATGGCGTTTCATGGTTGCACAGCATTGGTATTGACGCGGCTGAGGCCGCTTTCGTTTTCAATCATGTGGTTTGGCGTTTGAATTTTCCGGCCTGTCGTCTTCGATGATATTTGCCGCACAAAAGGGGCCTCTGCTTCGGCAAGGAGACTAAATACATCAAATACATCAGATGGCCTGCATTTAGATACAACTCAACAAAAATTTGTCAACTCACTCGTCTGTTGTGCATCGTGAGATGAACGAGGCGCTAGATGTGGAAGAAGAAGTGACGTTGGACAGTCGAGCCGGATTGGCCAGTAACCGCATGACCCCGCAGTTGAGCTTTACTCTATTAATCGTCGGCTCTTGCTCCCGAGTCTGTTATGTGAATAGCTTCTTTCTTGCCCAATTTTACACGCTATATTTTAAATGCATAATCAATTTTCTAATCAATTTTAATGAAACCGTAATATTGCGTGTTGCTGTCGTTGCCATCAAGTCACCACATCTATCATGCCTCATATGTACACCACAAGCACCTTGCGCAACGCTGCCGTCCAACATGATACAAACGCCATTGACACTTGTGCCCAAAAAAACGAACAGCCCTGTTTTCCAACCTAGAATGATAAGTAGCCCCCCCAATACACCCTATAGAATGTCAAAAGCATATCGAGCTACGACCCAGGGACCATGGCGTCCAATGAGACCTCCCACAAGACGCCCGAGGAGACTCACTTATACGTCGTCAAAAACAAAAGACGTCTATACGTGACTGTTTTCCCAAATGACGACGCTCCAGACGACAAAGAAAGGTATTGAGCCAAGCGTAATCCAATTCTGCAAACCATTAGTCTGTTCAAGAGCTGGCAAACCCTGACCAAGCACACGCGAGCAGCTTCAGCTGGGGCTTCCTCATCGGGCCAAAGTACGAAGACTCAGTCAGCAACTCGGGCAAGCGATACTACGTCGAGCGCACGCATCTGGGGACGGCCGAGGAACCCGACATCTTCCTCTGGCGGTACGCCGTGGTCCATCTCCCCAACGTCGCCTCCGCCGCCCGCATGTACGCGCGCATCCTGATTGCCAAGGTGGAACACGAGGGCCGTCTGGAAGACCTCATGAGCAGCACGCCCCGGCCGGACTCGACCGCGGCCGGCGCCATTGCCAGGGCGCTGCACGACGGCTACGACTCGCAGGTGTGGGCGTCGCAGGTGCTCGGGCGGCTGGCCAGCGTCGGCAGCAAGGACCGCGTCGTGGGCACGGCGGTGCTGGACTGGCCGCGGATCGAGCTGACGGCACGGCGGTATGTGGCGGAGAAGATGGCGACCGATAGATACAACGAGCGCTATCTGAAAGAGACGGATTGTCGACTGCCGAAGCCGACGTGGGATATGCTGCTGGATAAAGAGGTTGTTGGTTGAACATGCTCGTGGCTTCGAGTTGCATGTGTCGAGTAGACTTGGGTTTTTCTTATATATATAATGATCTTTTGTATATACACGTGACTAGAGCTGTTTTTGCTGAGAGTGGTCAAGTGAAATGTTTTGATCTGTTTGCCATTGCTGTGGCGAATTGTTTCATCACCAACACAAGACAATGTTAGGGTAGTACTAGAGATTGCGCGGTGATGGACATAGCATTCGCCCGCCAGCAGTAACTTACGATTCCACAAGAATGAGACGCTGCATTTCATCTTTCACAATTTTTGTTTTTAATTCTCAATTCACATGTTCGAAGTGAGTAAATCCCAGGTGATGCTCACATCACGACTTTCATGTCGCTAACCCCACTCTAAATTCTGCACCTCGTTTGACTTCAACTTGATCATCATGCCGTGTGCCTCTCCACATCACATCTCCTAGAAATGAAAGAGGTAAAAGCAAACAATCAGCCTCTGTAACACAGCACACAGACAACAGCAATGTCCGGATCATCGCCACTGCCCTCGCCAGGACCCGCCTTTGAGGCCCGCAAGCTCAAGATCCTAGAGCAGCTCGCGGTCCCCGACGCCGAGTACTCGGACGCCTCCCCCAAAGGCACCGTCGACGTGGGAATTCGGCCTCTGCTGGCCGAGATCAACGCGGCGGCGGGCTTCGTCACGACGAGCAGCTGCGCGGGGCGCGTGAGCGTCTTTGTGGAGGGGCGCAAGACGGCGGCCGCGACGACGACGACGATGGCCACGGGGGATGACCAGGATGATGTGAATGATGGAAGCGGCGGGACTGAGCAGAGCGATGGATTGGGGCCGATGCAGCCGGCAGTCGCTGCGCAGACAGTGGCCGGCCTGGGCGGCAAAGGCGGTGGCGGGACGTGGTTGTACGTCTCGCACGATCCGCATCCGCTGGCCGGACAGGGCATGGTGGTGGATTGGGCAAAGGAGCTGGGAATTACAGAGGAGCAGGAGGATGAGTTGCCGTCGGATACTACTGGGGGCTCCGGCGGTTGTCATTCGGAGCGCAGACTGATTCACTTCAAATTTGAACCCATGGTGAGTGAACAACCAGGTTGACGACGCAACACCTCACCCCCCAATTGGGCTTTATAGTGATTCACGTTTATGATCCAATGCTGAAAAAAACGTGCCAGATTCTTCACGTCCTCACCGCTTCCCACGCCCACGCGCAGCTCCTCCTCCGCTGCGCCCTCCACGCCGGCTTCCGCGAGTCCGGCGCCGTCAGCCTCGTGTCCCCCAACAACGAGCCCGCCACGCCCATGGTCGCCGTCCGCTCCATGGGGCTGGGCCTCGAGTCGCTGCTGGGCTACGCCGAAGACGACGGGCGCCGACGGCGGCTAACGGTGCCGCCGGGCTATCTCGACACGCTAATGACCATTGGCAGCGCACGCTTCGCAGAAAATGGCAAGCGTATCGAGCGGTTTGAGACGGCGTTTGGCGCGGCGACGGCGCGGTTGGCGGGGCCGCGGAGGAATCCGGATGGAGGGGCGTGGGAGGACGCGGCCGCGCGGAGGGAGAGGATGCGGGCAGAGGGTTTGAGGCAAAAGGCGGCGCGGCAGGCGGAGCGGAGGGCGGAAGAGGAGCAGCCGGATATAGATCTCACAGGGACGATGGGGTGAAGTGAACAGATGCTTCAAAAAAAAATGAACTCAACGACAGCTCAACATGACATAATAGAGCGTGCTGTGTTATTGTCTGTGCATATAATGGGCGATGTGGTAACATTATATCATCACTGAGGAATGAGACGGAGATAGTGATAGAAGGAAATGCTCAATCACCTAAATCACCTATTAGCTGATCGATTCAGAGCCGATGCGCAGACAGAGATAGGATAGCGCACGCGGATAGGCATGTAGACGAAATCCGATCGAGAAAGAACGTGTTTGCGATACCTCTTAAATGGGTATTCACATATAAACTAAGTCCTGATGGTACGCTTCTCTCTTTTCGTCTATGTAGCTTTTACCGCTTCCCATATTCGTAATGTACACAAAAAACCAAGCCCCCCGTGCAAGTTGAAGGGCCGTCGAGTGCCGTCAAAAACAAAACAAAATGCAGGCACATTGTCCCATCAACAATGAACCCATGAATTAATCACCCCTCTTTTTTTTCTGTCTGCCAAGTCCGCGCCCATCACGACACGACCTTGTCGACCCACGACTTTTCCAGCTTCTTGACCTCGGCCTTGAAGTCGTCCACCTCTTGCCAGCAGTCGAGCGGCCGGCGGTCATTGGTGCGCAGGCACTCAATCACCTTTGTGCGCGCCGCCTCGACGCTGTCAGGCAGCGCGCGGACCTGCTTGCGCTCCTCCAGCTTCTTGCGGAGGGCGTCGACCTCCTTGCCGACGGTGAAGCGGGTCGGACCGTTGCTGTTGTCGGCCTTGTCGGTCGACTTTGAGGAGGACGCGGTGGCGGCGGCAATCTTGTCGTGGGCGGCGGCGAGGGCTTCGGCTTCGCGCTTCTGCAGCTTCTTGAGCTCGTCGGCGACACGGGCGTGGATCTGCTGCTCGAGCAGCTTGGCACGCGAGGCGTCGGTCTATATTTTTTTCTCCCCGTCAGTTTGCACTTCTTCTTAGGAAACCAGGCATCTGGCAAATTTGTCGTACCTCGGCGCTGGACTGCAGGGAGTCGAGGACAGGCATGGAAACACCCGGCGTCCCTGAGCTGTTTTTTTTTTGGACATGATGTCGTTAGCATGGGTCGGCCTGTGCGAGAGGTGCGGGCATCGCAAAGGCCCGGGAAAGGCTGATCGGTACGTACGCCTTCCATTGGTAGCCCGATTGCTCTGGTTTCGATGTGCTGGACCCCATTGTGAATTGTTCAATGGCGGGGGTACGAATCTTGAATCGGCTTCTTGGCTAGAAAGCTGCCGGATCACTTCGGCACAGAGAGCTTGCGCGATCCATTGTCGGAGTGGATGCCTGAGGCATACATTATGGAGTGCACCCAGCTACAATGTTAGTTACCAGATGCAGGCGCCATCGCCTCCAGAGAAGAGCTACAAAAGAATTATAGAAATAACAAAAAGGCAAATCAGGAATATGAAAAAAATACTTTCATCCCTTTGAAGAGAATACAACAGCATCATGTGATGTCCTGCAGCTGTGAAGTACGATATCTCCTCTAGTTCCGCGTGAATTGCAGCCGCTGCAACATGGCTTTGCACAATTTGACTTGTTTTCCCAAAAAGAAAATGAGGCAAGAAGATATCAAGTATGATGGAAACTACACAAGAATAAATTCTAACAAACTCGTCGCTTCGACAACGTGCTGGAGTGGCACAGGTGACAAGGCAGCGCGCCGAACTTACACACCCCGTGGAACAGTTTGTTTACAAAGGGTAAATAGTCTATATCTGAAATCGCAGCAGGATGCCAAATATAATTCGAGTGACGTTTGGCGAGAGAAGCATGCCGTGATATTGCTGATGACTACTGGTATCGTCTTGGGCGAGTCTCTGCGTGGCTGGCGCTTTGTGCGGGACCGGGCAGCAATGCTTGGCGCCGCCGCCTACCTATGTCGCGATGACTGGCGATGGCTGGAAACCAGTCGCCAACTGGAATGTCGGTACGCTAAATATTGTCCACGTGCGTTCTCAACGGCATTGTCTATACTCGGATGACGGAGTCTTTGTCTTTGCCGTCGCATCTACCCAGTCTGGCGTGCCGTGGCTTACCTACTCACACGATGGTTTCACCGTCTCAGCTGAACTGCAGCTTGGCCATTTTCCTCGGCGTAGTGAAACGTAACATGGCAACGGGAACTGCTGGTGGACGCCTAAACTATGGTGGAAGCAGGATGGCGTTTCTGCAACTGTCTCTATATCTCTCTATATCTTCTTTATTAGTTTTTGCCCACATGGATCCGTTGCAGATTGAGTAATATCAGCGGGCAATAAAAGAAGCAGCGCGAGTGTCGAGGTAGATGACATGGGGGCCGGTCTGACAGCGCTTGCAATGCAGGTATTTAATTAGGAAAAAAAGTTGCCATCATGCTGTTTGAGAGTGACAGGTGTGGGCTTGGCGGTCCTTTGCTAATGAGCATCAAGGACGTAATAAATCATCTTCCGCGGGGCAGTGGCATGTTGGACGGCCACGAGGTCATTCTGGGCGCGATGCAAGGGGTCTCCTTTTGCGGCCGAGGGTGGTGGCGGAGACGGCAGAGACGGCTCGGAAGGGAGCCGATGTGTCGGGGGCTCTAGAGACTTCCGGTACGTGATGCTTTTAAACCATTAGCAGTCAGTAGTTGAGCGCGAATTGAAACATGCCGCGACCAGCGGGACTCGGGAACGTGTGGGCGCGAATGGCTGGCGGCGTTTCTTTGTTGCAACGGGCGCGACGCATCAGATTGGGGCCACGACGTGCAACCGAGACATGGAGGGGAGAGTATTGAATGAACGTCATTCAAGTTGAATCCAGCCGTAATCCTTTGTGTTGTTGATTGATAGATCGTGGCTGTAGTCTAAATAGAGTGATCAGATGCAAATACGTAGCAGACAGGAAGAGGTTCAAGTTGAGTTCGCTGTGTATTTACCTAGCTGAGCTCCAAGCAAGCCACTTTTGCTTAATACTAGGTACCTACCTACCTTAGGTACCACTGACCAGTAATAAGGTAGTACGACCCCTGCAGAATGGCGCCCCGCTGTGGCGGGTTTCAGAGTGTAGGTTTTTTTAGGTGAGCAGTGGGCGATGGACTGTCTGACTGGCTGCTGCTAGTTAATTATGAGGCTCAAGAGAAGCGAGAGCGATTGAGAACCCACAGACAGGTATTGATCGTTTGCATGCGACAAGCCCCTGCTTGGAGGAAGAAACCAGACGAAAGAGGAACTGGACATGGGGCATATAAGATGATTCCTGAACGTGGTGGACGCAAACCAGGTCGGTGGCATGTTGGAGGGATGCTGGGTTTGATGAAGAAAGTCCGAAATGCAATCTGTTGTGCCACGATTCTGGAGCAAAAGGGCCATTTGGCTGGGGCGCCATGTGGAAGCGTCTGGGTAGCAGGGTACATGAGAAAGAGGTACCTCGTAATAATTTAGCGTGAGCAAACGGTGGAATCTCGGTGGGAATGGGGCAAGTGTGAACAAAACGGACAAGTATCCGAGTGCATATCGTGGTAGGCAGGTACAGCCAAAGAGGCAAAGAGGGAAACATGATGGGCATCTCCAACGGTATCAGCATAGAAGAGCTCGTGGCAGAGTTGCAGAGCGTATCTTGACACATCAAGATGCCGTCAGAACCGTCGACAAGATTCCTTGGCTGTCAAACTCCCAAAGCAAAGCACCTATTACTATTCCAGTAAGGATTGCAGGCTATGAGTGGAGACAGGGCCTGGCGGGCCTGGCTATACCCGCTGTATCCCCTGTGCTTAATGCCAGGCACGCGCCTCTGGTTGGGCCAAATCCCCCCTGCAAAGCCCGACTTTCCAGGTATAACGTCTTTGCCAACCTCCGCCATACATTCTGCGGAACACATCCTCGTCTCTAACCTGACTTCATCACCAATATTAACTTCCATCTTCATGTTCTTCTCTTCACCCACTCCTTTCGTCCTCGTCCGCTTCTGTTCAGACACTAGTCACATATATTCATCCACGGCCTCGATTCGACTACCAGCCGTCCTCTACCTCGTCGACATTGCCATAATCGTCTGGTCCTCACATCCCCGCTCCCGCTCTCAGAGCTAGCGTGCCATACCGTCGCATCGAACTCAGCACAGCCCACTTTCCCCTGGGTTGATCGTCATTATCTTGTCGTCGCTGGCTGGCCCTCAACTTTGATTCACTCGACGCTGAATTCCCTTTTCTGTTTTCGCCTTGAAGGCCACTCTTTTTTCGCCTACGACGCAGGCTCGATTGCCGTCCACTCGTTTGACTGCTCGACGGCGTCTCTGCGTCTCTGCGCTGCCATTCTTTGCCGGTTTCGCCGTCCATCGTTTCTCGTCGTCTCTGAAACTTCCGCATCTCGACAAACCGCAAATTCATAAACAACTTAGTCTTAGTTTCTTCGCCTCATTTGAAACTGCCGCCTTTGTTCTGCGCATCACTTTGCATCGCAGCCCTCTTCGTCCACCAACGTTTTACTTCTTTTACTCTGCATCGCCCACCCGCCGGTTGTTTGGCCCTCTTCTCGTTTGCCGGTTTCTCGAATTCACCCTCTCGTTCAGATTCCATCTTTTTCAAACTCTATTCTTGACACTGCTGGTCAGCTCCTAAAAAGGAAAAAAAAAACCACCCACCACCTCCTGTCCCGCCTGCCTTGATTCACTAGCACCCTTTGTGGAGATAGGCATATCTGGACAGGAACATTCCTCCTCACCCTCCCTTATACGCCAACCTCTCTCTGGTTAAAACACTCGCACTACTCTTCTTGGCCTTATCCTCTGACCCGCCGCCGCATGATGCCCTTTTTCTCTTAAGAGAAGCCTGTCGGAATTCTCTTGTTCTCAACGGCATTCACGATTTTCACCCACGCACGGCTCATCAGCATCTTGTCGGCCTCCCTGGTCTGAAGGCCTGCATTTCGACTCTTCTTAGCTCTGGTTTCTCTTCGTCCTTGACCTCTTCTACCGTAATCTTTACTCCTCGCGCCGACCCTCCCTCCCCCTCCACCTCGATCAAGATGAACGTTGACCCTCACCGGTTCGCCGGTGTGGCGTCCACGCCAACAACACACACTTTCAACATGCGCACGGCAGAAGAGGTAGAGCAACCCAGTTCGACAATAGCACCCTATTACACAGCACTAAACGGAGTCAATCAGCCCATGAACATGATCGTTAAGGACGCTCTCTGGCTAACTCTCGGCGGTCTGGCCGTCATCATCCTCACCATCAGACTTTTGGAGATTGTCTGGGCCAAGTTGCGACAGGTCTCTGCCATGTCCGTACCGAGAGAAAAGCAGGGCTATTGGAAAACCTCACAATGGAGCTGGATGCCCAGTCTCAAGAAGAACCTCATCTACGCGCCTCTCTGGAAGAAGCGCCACAACCGCGAGTTCCGTCTTTCCAGCGCTATCAACGTTGGCACCCTTCCCTCTCGATTACACATGTTCATCATCATAGTTTATCTCGGCAGTAACCTGGCCTACATGTTTATCCTCAACTGGAAAAACGAAAACAAATGGGCCTTTTGTGCCGAGTTGCGAGGCCGAGCCGGTGTTCTCGCCGTCGTCAACATGGTTCCTCTAATCATCTTAGCCGGCCGCAACAATCCGCTAATTGCCATCCTGAAAATCAGCTTCGATACTTATAACCTGCTGCACAGATGGATGGGTCGCATTATCGTCGTCGAGACTGTCATTCACGTCACTGCTTGGTGCATTCCCGCCGTCGCTGACGGTGGCTGGCGCAATGTGAAGGACAAGATTTTCGCTACGCTCTTTATCGGCTCCGGGGCCGTCGGTACTGTTGCCTTTCTCGCCCTCTTCTTCCTCAGCGTCTCTCCTTTTCGTCACGCATTCTACGAAACCTTTCTTAACTTGCACATTGTTCTTGCTCTCGTGTCATTCGTCTGCACTTGGTTACATTGCGCTTCCTCGGACGTTGAGCTCGGAGGCCTGCCGCAGCTGCCCTGGGTCATTGCTGTCGTGATGCTCTGGCTCTTTGACCGTTTGGCTCGCGTTGTTCGCCTCACATATGCTAACTGGTCCGACAAGGGCTTCACAGATGCTCTTTGCGAGGCCATGCCCTGCAACGTTACCAGAGTCACTGTCCGCCTGCCACGTTTCATGAAAATTGAACCCGGCACCCATGCCTATCTTCGATTTTGGGGCATCAACGCTTGGGAAAGCCATCCCTTTTCCATTGCCTGGGTTGAGCACGAAACAACACACACACTGCCCATTTCCGCCGAGAAGGAACCTCTCAACGCCGTCGACCGAGCCAACGCCTATACCAATGTTTCCTTTGTTATTGGAGCGCACACTGGTGTGACGCGTACACTATTCGATCGGGCGAGCAGATCTGTGCGTGGCATTCGCATCAAGGCCGCTTTTGAGGGACCGTATGCAGGCCATCACTGTCTCGACTCGTATGGACACTGCGTACTCTTTGCTGGCTCGACTGGTATCACGCATCAAATCTCCTACCTTCGACACCTTTTAGACGGCTACAATGCTGACACCGTCGCCACCCGCAAGCTAACACTCGTCTGGATTATCAGGGAGTACGAATCTCTTGAATGGGTCCGACCATATATGGATACGATTCTTCGCATTCCCAACCGCAAGGATCTTCTCCGTATTCAAGTCTTTGTCACGCGTCCGCAAAACCCTCGCGACATTGTCAGCTCTAGCTCTACCGTCAAAATGTTCCCCGGTCGTCCCAATGTGCGGCTGCTTCTTTTCAAAGAAGTACAAGAACAGATTGGTGCCATGTGCGTGACGGTCTGCGGCCCAGGTGGCCTTGCTGATGATGTGCGTTCTGCTGTGCGCGCCGTCCAAGGACATAGCGTCATCGATTTCATCGAAGAAAGCTTTACTTGGTAATAAGTAGACACAAGTTGGCGGTTTCTTTTTTTCTTGTACCATCTATTCTTTTATACCGGATCAGGATTCTATTGCATTTATTGGGCGAAGACGATGGCCGACTTTCTATCTGTACATACTTGAGATTTTGGGGAAAGTGTGTGGCATAGAAGCAAGGGGTCTCTTATTTGTCGATACACGGCGAGCAGCCAGAAAGGCGCCGCATAGACTTTGCATATATAACCGGCGCAGCAGGGCATCACAATTTGATGATGAATCACATTTCCGATTTTCGTATCTCTGAGTCTTTGTCAATTTCAGATCAGTACGAATTATTATGGGTAGTCGACAGCGTTTATCGGCTAACTATTTGCTATTAAGAGTGCTAGTAAGGCTATTGTAGTAAAATCGAACTTGACATGCAAACCAAAACGCCAAAGAGCCCCAATCGCTAAATAATGCATCATGCCACATGGGTTACAAATTCAGTTTCCAGCTCCTCCAAACAGAGAAAATTTCGCAAAATCTCCATTACATATTCCTTCATGCGGTAACAGCAGCCGGCCCCTCGCCCGTTGCCGCCGCCATCGCCTCCTGCAGCCCGCCGAACCCGTCCAGACCGTCCAGGCCGCGGAAGCCCTCCTCAACTACCCAGGCCCTGCCCCTGTCGAGGTGCCCCTCGAGCGCCGTGCACGCCGCGCCGACGACCAGCAGCCCGGGCGGCCTGCTGCCCTCCTCCTCGACAGCCTCGGCAACTCGCGCGAGGGTTGTGCGAATGACGCGCTGGTCGGGGCAGCTGGCGCGCTCGACGACGGCGCAGGGCGTCGTTAGCGGCCAAAGTCTTCTCGTCGCGGAGGAGGAGGAGGAGGAGGTGGTGGTGGTGGTGGTGTTTTGTGGCGTCTTCTCGGACGAAGCGGGCGTGTCTTCGAACTCCACGGCGGTGGTGAGTTCCCGGACAAGCCCCGTGATGCGGTGCAGCGCCATGAGGAAGACGACGGTGCGCGAGGCGACAAACTCGGGTGGCGCGGGGGCGGCACCCTTTTTGCCCGTCCCCGTGCAGATGAGCACCTGGTCGGCAACGTCGCGCTGGGTGGCGGGTATGCCGGCAAACAGCGGCGCCGACAGCGCGCTCGTCATGCCCGGCAGCACGGCGACGCGGTCGCCGAGCCCCTTTGCGCGGAACCAGGCGACTTCCTCGCCGCCGCGGCCGTACAGGAACGGATCGCCCTGCTTAAGGCGCAGTACGGTCTGACCGGCGAGAACGCCGGCATGCGCGGCGGCGAGAAGCTCTTCCTGCGCGCGGTCGGCGTTGCCGGGGAACTTGCGGGCAATGGAGACGGGCGTGCGGCGCGGGATCAGCGCGAGCACGCCAGCGGGGACGAGCTTGTCGGCGAGAATGATGTCGGCGGAGAGGAGCGCGCGGTGGGTGGCGCGCGTGAGGAGGTCAGGATGGCCGGGCCCGCTGCCGGCAAGGAGGAGGCGGCCGAGTTTGGGTGTTTTGCTGGCATTCGGATTGGGGTTGAGAGAAGGAAGGGAGGAGGAGGAGGAGGCCGTGTCGGTTTGGTAGCTGGTGAGGAGGGTGGCAACGTCGTCGTCGGTGATGGACGCGAGGCGGCTCAGCGGCCAGTACTCGCAGACCTGGCTGAGCCAGCGCATGCGGCGCGTCTTGATTTCCTCGGCGTCTTGGAGGACGAGCTTGTTAAAGGCGGCGCTTTGCCCGGTCGAGTCGTCCTCGTCGGGGGGAGATGAGGAGGAAAGAGAAGCAGTGTCGCGACAGTAGTCTTGCTGGATGATGCGCCGACGAGCATCGCCGAGTCGCGCAGTGGCGGCGCCGAGGCTGGCGGGCAGCGAGGCGGCAATCTCGCGACGGATGCGCGAGGCGAGCTTGCACCCGCGGCCGTTGGTGGTGACGCCGATTTGCAGCGGGCCGTCGACGTGCGTGGACAGTAATGTGAAGGTGCAGAGGTCCGGTGCGTCAACGACGTTGACGGGGATGCGATTGCGCCGGCACAGCGTAGCAATGTGGGTGTCTGTTTTGGCGCGCCATGTCAGAGAAAATCCTTGGAACCATAAAAAGCAAGACAGGATTCAAAGCAGAGAAGAAAAAAAAAAAAGGGAAAAGAACGACATACTAGTCTCTCGCGTGCCCGTCGTCACAAACACGGCATCCACCACGCCGCCAACTTCTGCCCTGCCCAGACGAAAGAGATCCTCATCGTCGAGCGGCTTCCGCTCCCACTTTACGCTCCCGTCGTCAATTTTGGCCTGCAGCCCGTAATGCAAGTCCGTCGAGGCGTCCGCTCCCGGGGCGACGAGCACGGGATGGGCGCCGGCGGCGAGAGAGGCGGCGCAGCGGGAGGCGGCGAGCGGGTTGGTGCCGACGACGAGGTGGACGCTGCCGCGACAGTCGAGGCCGGCGAGGAGGACGTTTGGTTTGGTGTCTTGTCCGTCCATGGTTGATGTCATGTCATGAGTTGAATGTGTTGTGAAAAAGAAGGAAGAAGAAGAAGAAG